ATGATCCAAAGATTCTACATCAGCTACTTGCCCGCAGAAAGGACACTACACTTCCACCTCTACATATAAAACTGAGTATCATGGAGCAGTTTGTTAAAGCTTTGCCAATTGAAGGACATTATTTCAAGTCTCCCATTTCGGAATTTCCTAGCCTATCATTTGAAAAGATAACGGCCGTTGTGTTTGATGGTCCATAGATTTGGCAGATCCTTAAAAATGAACATTTCATCGGATGACAAAACCTCAAAAGAATACTTGGTTGGCATTCAAAAACATCGTTAAAGACTTTCTTGGAAACACACGAGAACAGAATACAGCGAATTTATTCAGCAGCTGTTGGAGATCTTCAAAAGGATTGGTTGCACAACATGTAAAACTGCCACAACATGAGCATCAAATCGCAGTTTTTACATAACCATCTTGATAACTTCCCAAAAAATCTTATACATTGCAGTCAGAGATGAGCAGCGTGAGCGATTCCACCGAGACTTGAGATCATAGAGACACGGTACCAAAGTAGATGGGTATGATGGCTGACTATTGTTGGAGGATCAAGCGAGAATGTCCACAGATGAAACACTCCACAAAAAGCCATATGCAAAACATTTTACCTTACTATATATGTTTGCCGTTTGGTAAAAGAAGTTTACTATTTATATGAACGAAATTAAAATTTTTTATAACTTTTAACTATATATAGCCTTTTTATAAATAAAATTATTTTTTGTGAACAGTATATTTGGTACGTTTTCCCTTTATTTTCCTTTATATGCAACTTTTTATGACTTTTGAAACAAAGAGGGGGTATCCTGTAGCTTAGAAAGCTGACGTGATAGACAAAAACAGGTTATTTTTGGATTCAGAGGCCAAAAGTTAGTCAAAATCAAGTGACAGTCCTAAGATAACGAAATTGCAGTACCCCAAAGTAATTGACTTTTTTGATTGCAACCAAAATACGAGGTGCACATCTACATGTTATAGCAGTCCTACATACAAAATTTCAACGTTTTGAGGCTACTCGTTTTTGACTTATGCGAGATACGTACGTACGTACATACGTTCGTACAGACGCCACGAAAAATTCTCTTCAGAATTAATTTTAAAACAGTTTTATAATTTTTTGGAGGAAACGAGTTTTTTATTTTGTCCTTACGTATAGATATCACGCAAAAACATCGTTAAATTGCATTCGATAGCGGTCAAAATGGATATTTTCGTTCAAATATGCTGCCTGAAACTTTTCGCGATTACAATACTTCCTTTTTACTTCGTACAAGGAAGTAAAAAACGGGACAAAATCTATAAATCTATTATGACGAGCCACCATTTCATTTCAACGAGTAAACATCATTGCTTCAAATTATTTTTCATGCAAAGTACATTTCATGAACATTATTTTGTGAAATAACCTAATAATTTAATATTTTTGCTCAAAGGTATTTAAACTAAAAGGTATATTTCATTTTGTTAGCGTTTTGTTTTCATGGTTTCAGTTCAGTATAAAATATAAACTTGCATTTTTTAAATAAGGATTTTTATTTATTTATTTATTTTTGAAATAAATTCTAAGAAAGAGAAGAATATGAAAATTCTTATTCGTTTTACACCACCCTTAACTAAGTTGTATAGATATGACCAAATTAATGCAGTTAATTTTTTTTCCCATTTAAGCATGTTTATAATGTAACTGTATGAATATAATGTAAAATTAGAACCTTCAATATTTTTTTCAAACATGGAAAGCATTTTCTGATGAAAAGAAATTTTCAGGTTTTCTGCTTCTAATTTCATATATTTAAAACTAAGAAGGGGAAAACTTACAATTTTACATATTTTAATATTATGGTAGGACATAGAAACTCCTTTGAAAGTAGAAACCAGGAGCACTGCCTAATTTTTTCTGCAGAAACCAGGCCCTCAATAATACTAAAATAGTTTAATATATTGCAATGAATATCAAAATGTGGCACGGTATCAGAATAAAGCTTATCAGCTTGCATTCACTGGATTGTCATAAACGTTCGATTCATAAAAAAGCGGAATGTATTTTCAATAAACAGTAACGCTTAACTCATATTATTTTAATTATATAAGAATCATCGCGCTGTCAGGCATAAGAACCACAACAACCGTCTGGATAACCTATACCTCCATATTCTAACTGGGCATCATGGAATTGAAAAGTAATTAGATAAGCCTTTCTATTAATAATAAATATTCATCAAATGCACTACGTTCATGAAACCTCCTCCACCCCCCCCCCAAAAAAAAATCATAAAAGTGACACTCTAAATGGACGTGCAATATGCTCGTTCAAGAAGAAAAGGGAATAACCTGTAAATGTAATTTCTTGCGAGACACGGTTGCTTTAGGGAAGGGAAAAATTACAACGACAAATATGTGCAATTTCCCTTAGAAGATATAATAAAGCATTATTTCGTGCTGGCTGCATTGCAGTTAATTTCCTTAATGTTGTTTTGCTTTAACATATTTGAGCATTGACATTTTTGCTATTATTATTAGTCCAAAGTGGCAATTTGCCCAGAAGGACTATTAATTTCGTTTTGGCATTTTGCGTTGACTTACTTTCTGCGTTGTTTCACTTTTCAAATTGTTGCCATCAAATATTAAACCCCTTTGTTATATTTAAAGAAATTAAATAATGAAGAATTTGAATGTATGTCTGTTTCTCTCATTATGATAAAACAACGCTACCTAGAGCCATCCAATTTTGAATAATATTCGTTTCTACCGGAATATGGGCATCTGAAAGCCCAAATTTGGAATTTGTTTTATTACCGATTTCATATTTTTTAAAACTTTAACGACTTTTTGATTAACAAACTCAAGGATTTCAAAGCGAGCCATGGCAACTTGTACAGAAAAAACATTTTTATCTCCAGCGCGTGAGACTGTGCATCGGAAATACTAAAGACATGCTCATTTTTAAATTTATTTGACAATATTACTGTTGAACTGAATTTTATGGTTTAAGTGCGAAGAACGTGATATTTAATAAATAAAGGTAACACAGAAAATGTTAAAAAACGCCCCTTTGGACGTAATTTAAAATCTGAAACCTTTCAGATTTTCTTTTTTTATAATTATTTTATTCATTTTAATATTTTTTGTAGAGGTGTTATTAAATCCTTTTCTTATATATTATGAAACAAAAATGCACGTTAATTCTCGCGTCGCGTAACCACTGAATGATTTCCGCAAAACACAGTTTAAGAAACGCTGGTGTAGAGAACCGAATGTGACTGCTAAGAATAACAGGCCATGCTTTTGAGTTTGCCATTAATGCTAAGCATTGTCAGGTTCTTTCAATGGAATTCATTTCACACTTCGAGTACGATAATCGAAATATACTGCTTCAACGAAACATAGCAATATCACTCAATGCCTATACAGTTCTCAGCGACTTATTTATGGTCACATCATTCAGCATGGATTATGCAATAGAAATCTCCCAAACATAATTTCATTAGAAAAATTATTAATAAGTTATTTATTAATTTTTATAAGTCATTAAAAGCAAAAGCTGCAACTACAATGCCCGAAACTTGCCACTGCAAAACTTTTCTTGCATCAGTCTGAGTGCTGATTGCCCTGCTTTCAGCTGTATATGTCTTTATCAAAAGATGATTTTTTTCAGTAGCTTTGAATGAAATGCATAATCTCTTTAAAAATTAAAAGGAATTTCTGCCATTTTCAAAGATATATTAACATGAATACATGAAGTCAATGAAAATAAAAATATTTTGTTTGATGGAAAGAAACTGAGATTAATTTTTAAGCACGTATATTCAAATAATATTTTTAAAATGTGACTTTTCTCTCAATAAAATTATTTATATTTCTTAGTCCAAATTGGTGTTAACCCAGGAAGTGCTATTAACTAATAGCACTTTCTGGGATAACACCAATTTTAACGGTATTTTAACACCAATTTAATACCAGTTTCAAAATGGTATTTTGCGTCGAATTTCTTTAAATATCCGAATCACTTTTCAAATTGTTGTCACCAAATATTATCGCTCTGTATTATATTTTGAAGAAACTAAATAATGAAGAATCTGCAAGAATGTATCCATGTTTCTCGTACTGTGAAAAAACAACGATAGAATCTTCAAATTTTTAATAACTAGTCCTCCACCCGAACATGGTCGCCTGGATGCCCGAATTTGTAATCTAGAATTTGTTTTGTAAAACTTTAACGAAATTTTGATTAAAACTAAACAATTTCAAAGCGAGCAGTGGCAACACTGCAAAGAATAAAACATTTTTATCTCCAGCGCACGAGATTGTCTGTCGGAAATTCTAAAGGTAATGCTGTTTTTAAATATTTTTAGCACAATACGGCGTTAACCCAAATGCTCTCGAAACGTGTATGTCTGTAAATGAAAAGAAACGCCCGTTTGGGCACAATATAAAATCTTAAAGCCTTTTAGAATTTATTTATTTATTTATATCTATCTTCCTACGGCTAGATAACTTGTACTATTAATTTCACAAAGAAATTTTCAATTTCCTTCAATTTTTTCCTAAATGTGAATATATCTCAGTATATATCAAACGTTATGGAAATTCATACATATTACGCTTTTGGCAAAGCGTTATGGGAATGTATATACTATATATATATTCAAAATAAGAAACCTTAATACTTCTAATAGTTGTCTTCGTCTCGACATTTCTTTAGGAAAATGGTAGACAACTCAAATCGAATCTGCATACGGCACTTCCTTGGCAAAGCAATACGGTGTTAATGCAAACGTTTTAGTATTATGAACAGACAACTAAATTGCTTTCAATTCGATTCAGAATTAAATAAGTTACAGTAGAAAGAGCATACAGAAGAAAGAGCATCTCTACAGAAACCACAGAAATATAATATAAATTAAAGAAATAGAAGCAAACGATAGGGAAAAGAAATCCCATAAAGGGACAAAAGCAGGGATAAATTTTTTCACGGTTGTATAACTTGATTTTGCCAGTTTCGTACATTTCGCTTCTACAGTTGCCCTTCCAGTTTCAGTCGGTGCATGCCCGCGGCGATGAGTGCCTTGGAAGTAACCTGCGAATTTATATGGTTGGTGATAAAGACGATAGGAATTGTTTTGCATGCTATTTTCAGAGCTATCATACCTGAACCTCCAAAATGCGTTCGAGACAAAGTTATCTTAGTTACAGGTGCTGCTGGTGGACTAGGAAGGTTAATTGCTCAGAAATTTGCATTACTTGGGGCGCGAGTCGTTCTTGTAGATATGAATGAAGTAAGCAATTGTGTCACATTCCTTAATTAAACTTTTATAGAAAAGCATGTATAACTCACAAACTTATTTAAAAGTATCAGAAATGGTAAAAGAACTTAAAAGTGTTAATTAGTTAAAAATAAATAAATTAAAATAAAACTCTTTTTTCTGGTGGTCATATAGTAACGGATTTTACATGTTATTATTTATATCATTTTTAATAGAAATGAGCGTGACAAAATTTGATTAACAATATTTCAAACTAGACATACCTTATATTATAATAGCGAGAAATTTATAGAAGTAGGAAATTTAGCTATGCTTATACTAGATGCAACTCTGCTTTTTTTTCTTTTCGTGTTATAATTAGTGTTACTCAAATGTTTGAATGTGCGTCCACTTTTTGAAACTTTTTCTTTTACGCCTAGCTACAGGATTTCTGTTTAGTAACAAAACAGAGTTTCATTTTATATATGGGTTAAATGATCAAGCTAAATTAGTTCTTAGATTCTTTCGTAGATTTCATGTTATGAAATTTCCTTCAGTTTGTAATTTGTGATCTTGATATGCTCAGGCCATCGAAATCGTTGACATAATCTTAAACAAAATCAGTCGATTTAATCTTCAAATCTGCCCTTCCTTCCTTTAAAAAAAAAAATGCTAATAATTAGTCAAATGACATTAGTCGACTAAAAGGTAGTTAGATCAAAACTTTATCTGCATATTTATCGAATACCCATATAGTCTTAGTACCTAAATTTTATTAGTATTTTTAGTAGAATATGACTATTAATATCAGTTTTGGTCTATAATTTGAATTTCAGTTTCAAGATAATTTTAAAGAAATGCTGGAATTTCCTCAAAACTACCACAAAGATTCCAGATTAATTTTGGTCGTCTGTTGAGATCGTGATCATAGTGATAATCATTACCGATGTTTGTCTAATTTCTACGAAATTATGTTTGTAATCTTGACTACTGATATTCAAATTAAATTATAATTAGAAGCAGCAAGAATCACTAAGGAATAGCTAAGTTTACTGTTTTTATTTTACAGCTATCAAAATGAGCTGATGCTAGAATAACAATCACAAGAGATTCGACATTCAAAAACCAAACTAATTATGAATCACTATTCATTGCCATTCAGCGTAAAAGAAAATATGACTAACTGCTTGTTGCCGTTCAGCTTAAAAGAAATAACAATATTAACAAAACGTTGAAAGTTAATTTTATGAAATAAATAAACACTTGCAAAAGCATAAAATACTTGAAATAAAAATAATTTTTAGTGAACATGCAGTAACTGGGCTACTGCATGTTCACTTTGAGTTGACTGCGACGAAGTTTTACAATAGTTTAAATACTGTGTATCTTTTTCACCGTTCAGAAACAAGAACTACAAATTAGAAATAGCAGAGGATCTTGCAAGTTATTCTAGAATTTCATGATTAAGGTGGATATATTACACATAGATTTTGCGCACACAATCTGTTTAGAAATATATAATTGAAAACTAAAATACCTCAGAGTGAAATTTTACTTTCGCGATTAATACTGACAGTATGAGGTGTCGCACAAATATTCACGGAGTCATGCTCAGTTAAATCAGCTGGATTTTGGTATGTGCAATGCATTTTAAGAAAAACGTGAAAAGTATCCTAAATTAGAGAAACAAGATCTGAATTTCAAAATTTTATTCCTGAATTTTAAATACGCATGTTAATTTCTGTATGTAATTAAAATATTGTAAATACAGTTTTCAAAATCTCGGTTTTAAAATGAGTATTTTACTCTTTTAATCAAGCACTTAAAACAACTGACTACCTTGCCGTTGAATGCTATTTATGAAACGCTAATTATTTTGCATGGAATTACTAGATATAGTTAGTTAATAGCATTTAATTGGAATTAATAAATACAAGAGTGTGAAGTTTATAAATTTTACATAAAAATTCTCTACTTGGAATTCAGAAGTTACTAATTTTTAAGAACTTTTATCTTAATTTTTCTTAGTTTCCAAATTACCTTTAAGTTTCTTTTGATACAAGGATTCCATCTATTTAGTTCAATTTGATAGTGTTATTTAGCTGGAGAATACCAAAGCCTCGGTCCTTTTATGCTTTTAGTAAAAATGTAGAGCTCCTTTTTATCTTAAATTTAGTATTTTTGTAATTCAATTTAAAAGCGTTTGAAAATATATTTATATGGAATTTATGATCCGATTAAACTAAGTGCAAGGTTTTCAATCGTATCAGTTACAAATTAAAGCTATTTTTAGATCTATTAATTTACTTTTACGACATTTCGTGGCAGATTGCAACTTTTAGGTTATTGTAAATACATAAACGAGATATAGTTTTATTTCATATTGGCTCTTTCTTATATAGTAAATCGAAGTTACTGTTTTCATGTGAAGGAGAAGGCACTTTTAAAAATTTTTAGCGTCTTAAAAATCACTAAACGCTATTTCCTAGAATTTCATAAGTAAACATGTGCATTACCATTGAGCAATGATCCTGTTTTTATTTCTGTTTCAATTTAATTTTATATAAAAATGGGAAAATTTTATTTGAGGGATTTCGTATTTATGTGCTCAGTTTAAGTCCTCGTTGTTAATAAAACCCTCAAGCATTTTGCCATGAACTACCTCCTTACCTAAAACCGTATACTAGAGTTGAGGATTTTAGCAAAAGTGTCTTTAGTATACATAAGTGTTTAGTACTCATTAAGAAAGTCTAAACAACCGTGATCGTCAAATGAATACTGAAAGCCATTTTAAAGAATTTATGCCAATGAACGTCGTTCACAAAATAAACGTGTTGAAGTATATACTTGTATATGCATACACAATTTTCAGTTTAACTTTTTAAATTATAAGCTTAGTGTAGTTGAAAAAAGTAAGCGAGCCCTACTTATTTCATCCACTGGTGGCATAGCGGTAATATTGCTGAACACTGGTCGTTCGACTCGAGTTTAAATTCTGGTAAATGGGTTAGCTGCATGGATATCATCCCAATTTCATTTAGAAAGGCTTCCAAAAATATGTCCTTAGGCAGATAGCTCAGAATTCTTTGCCGTAATCCATATGATCTAATTTAATCCAGTCCAGGGTACTTTTATCGTAAGGGTCTCTTATATCTCTTAAATATATATTAAATTATTTATTTAATAGCCATTAGCCTTGCGTTACTATAAGGGCCATAAGTGGTGGTCATTTCATTATGAAAGCACCTAATAGATGGCCAGCGTTGCCTCCTGTGAAGGGACAAACAGTTGCAACCATGCCTTTTCCGGGATTCGATCCCGGTACCATCGCTACGGCAGTCACCACTACACCAGCTGGGCGGCTAGACACTAAATTATTATACCTCACAGAAATATTCAAAAATCTTAATTGTATCAACCATTGTGACAATTCAAAGTTAGCAACATTCGTTATGAAATGAAAACTGTTTAACGTGAATTAATGAAAAAAAAAGGGAATAAAAGTATTTGAATAGCCAACTTTAATTAACTGAGCTCATATTTCGATAAATCTGACGTCTCGTCGACATCTAGTATTGTAGAAATTGCTATTTGATTTCTCTTAACAATCAGCCGACATTCATTGCTAGTATATATATATATATATGCTCATTTATTATAATATGTCAATAACTGACATATTATCTTCCTGAATATCTTCATGAATTCCATTAAAATATCTTTTATTCAGTGCTTTACAACCTTAATTTATTATTCTGTGTGCAAAATATAGTTGACTAAAGTCACTTTTGGATTTCGTTTCAATCCGTTCTTTTACAACGTTTTAGTAATCCAAAATAACCTAAATTTACTAAAAATTACCTATTCAGAGAATGGTTTTTTAATTTAATTTTGTAAAAAAACAAACTGGAATTATGATCTTTTACAAAACTCCCTCTTTAGATTATTAATAATGAGTTAAGCCGTGCAGTGAAAATGGCTAAACCTTATGTCCTCCACCTCTTACTTATATCCTAAAATTAAGCATATTTTGGCATGTTGTATAATTTGATAGGCCGCTCGGAAACAAACAGTAATAAGCAGGCCATTGAGCGAGTAGCAGTCCAGTTTTGAAGCAGAATCGGGTCCAGAAACTGCAGCAACGATTCTGAGTAACAGAGTGATGTCCGAGTCTCAACGGTCTGGTTCGGTTTATTTTGATTATGGGAAAGCACTCGAGGGCTATCTGCCTAAAGGAAGGGATGCCTCCGTAGAGGACTTTCTAAGGGAAACTGACTCGTATATACGTTGCAAATGGGGAAACCACGAAAACGCTCATGCAGCCAGCCCGTTCGCCGGGATTGGAACGGCAGGTCGATTTACCAATGTTCAGCGATATTTATCACTCGATCGTTGGTGGGCTGTGTGAGTTTACGAGTAGACAGCACGATGGGGAAAATTCTCACATAAAACATTAATTTCTTCAGTATTCTATCTAGTTTTAGAAAATAAAACCCTATTCACTGAACTGGTTATCTTTTCCATAAAACTAAACAAATTAAGTGATGCAATTTAAAATTTTATATTTTAGAAGAAACTACATATACAAGATATATTAATTTAAAATCTAAGTCTAATACTGAAAGGCTCTGGTCGAATAATGGCCATCCATGCACGTTACCTTTTCTAGGGCCTCAATGGCATTACATAAATTATTGAACCTGGAAATAGGATGCTGAGGGAAGATGGAAATTTTCCTAGGCTTATCTTCTCAAGTTGGTTCGTGTTTTTATGTTTTAGTATATTTTAACAGAAAATTTGTCCACCACTTCTCAATTAAAAATGTATCTAAAGTGATAGCAAGCTATTCTTGGTCAAACTGTTCATTATTTAGGCATATTTGTCTTTAGTAAGATTTCTCACGCTGCTCCGAAAAGGAAAATGCAACGTTAAGAAATATTTACAATTAAGGATAATCAGTGATTAAAACAGCAGAATATCTGTAAATGCATGAATTCCATCAAATGATTTTCCTGAATGACAGTTTTCAGTTT